GGTTTAACGAGTACCTAGGTTTGCTGCTACAAGGAAACTAATAAAGTGTGTTTTTGAGTAATATATTGATAGCTTAGTAGAAAATAAATAAATTTGCCAAGTTTGATCAAAATATATCCATAAACAAGCAAACTACAACATTTGACAATATTCTCCATAAGAATAACATGGGAATTTTAAATTTACAATTTTTTTTAAATTTTCTCCGTTACTAATAATCGAAAAAATATTCTTTTATATACTAAATTATTTGTTTTTTTAAGCTCTTTAAAAACGTCTAAAGAGAAATCGGGAAATTTTGTGTTTTGAGGGTCAAAAGTGAGAAAAAACCTATTTTTATCCCATAAAACCCCCGTAAAGCCCCGTTCCCATGGTCCGATCGTGCTGGTTCGCGAACTCATTCAAGTTTATCCCACTTTACACCTTTAAACCAAATTTCATCAAAATCAGACAAAAATTACTCAAGTTATCGCGTTCACGGACGTATATATATATAAGTCTATATATATATACATATATAAAAATTTGAACGAATGGTGTTTTTGGCCTCTGGGGACATCAAAATGAAAAAGTAAATCTGTCCCGGGTCTAGGTCTTACCTTGCCACCTACGGTAATAGCTACTTCCCTATAGGGAAATTCGCTAATAGCAAGGCAATTATTAGAAAAAATAGCAATAACGAAAAATTAAAACGTGATGTTAGTCATACCCTTGATTTCTTCTACCCTTATTTCCAAAAATAGTTATAGTTAAAGAAATAGTTTCAATGTCCAGTGTGTGCAGGAAACATAGCGTGAAACATACAAATCCCAGATCTCTCGAGGAGAACTGTTTACATTTATTGCTCTTCGCGAACGTGTCCGAACTGTGAAGTTTTGGCAGTTGAAAGTACTGTAGACTGTAGACCAGGCATTTACATATACTCGTTGTTTGGCATACCACAGTGTACAGTACGGTGTTTAGTTTACCACATGTGTATGTATGTTAAGTGACGTCACCGCGGGGAAATTGTCAACAATCCAGGGGAATTTGGTAGTCAGCTGTAGTTCCTTTCCCACGGCCGTAGCCAACGAACCCGCCAACCCGCATACAACACACTGTAGTTCGCATTTGTACGTTACTTGTGTAACTGGAAACGTCAATGAACTTCTAAATTTTTAAGTCTTAAAAAGTTTAATAGCTACCGGTACTTAGTTTTCCCGGATTTTGGTCTAAGAGGTGATTTTGAAAGTTCCCACGCCCATAACCCAATTCTATAATTCAAAATAGCCTTGTTCATCTAAATCAATATAATTAAGTTTATATTCTTCGTTACTCAAATGCTCAAAACGACTAGAAGAATATACTAAAATATACAACGAAAGATGAACAGTCCTTAAGAGTAAAGAGAGTAAAATCTGCGCTTAAACACGGGCTTGCAGTTAGTTATCCCTAAGAATTTAGGTTATCCGTAAACAGTTTACTATTAGGTTGATCTAAATTAGTATTTAGATACGGAACCGTATAATTATAGTCACCAGTAATTGATAATCGATTGAATGCAATGAAATGAATAACTAGGAAAGTTTACCATCATCGTATCCAATTATAAAAAAGATTAGCAATAAACTGACACTTTGGTAAGAAGGAAGAATCGCGAGATAAAATAAAAGCCTTTATTTAGATCCTGAAGAAAATCAGTAGCCTCTTATGGTTCGAAACTATACACGCAGCTGTGACGAATGAAACAGCTGATCGTCTCACTCCATTCTACCACATTCTACACTCTCCACTCACCTTGCATACATATTCAGCCTAAACAAAATAAATTATATAATGCGGAATAACTTCTCAGTACTGACATGTTATACGTTGTTCAATCCTCCAAATGCAGTTACAGTATTGGGAGTGTTAAGAGGATTCCATCCGCCGGCTGTTACCACGTAAACATGGTCCTACGAAAAAGAACCTCGTGGTGGCATTATTATTGTTTATCGAGTTGAAATAAACTGTAAAATATTCACAAATATCCAAACTATGCACTGGATGAACTGAAACTTCGTAATTGTTTCTTTAAGTATTTGCAAAATAATGTTGAAAATCCATTAGTTTGTCATTTTTACATGTAATTTTAACTTCTTAATAATAGTTATAAATTAATTTTTCTCCATCCATTGTAAGCTGTGATATGTTAAGAGCACAAAATACAAACAATAATTGGAAAAAAATTAGTTTTTGAATGTTGAGAGCTTTTACAATAGAGGCATGATCAATCTCAAACTATATTTCAATCCATATAATCCCGCCATCTTGAATTGAAATTCAGGCTGCCGAGCCCCTTTAAGATACTTAATTAAATGTTAATGTTATCATGTCATCCAGTTATTAAGTAAACCTTTTCACCACGAGGGGGAACCAGGTGGTTTATTAGTCTGGCATGCAAGCAAATGCTGCACAGAGTAGGCCCTATATCTGAGAAAATCTACACAGAGTGTCTATGTAAGAGTTGCATAGAGTTCATCATACGATAGACAATATATAGCTGCATCTTCAAAGTACACGCTACATAGAGAATGTCAAAGTAAAATCTACACAGAGTATATCAAAGTAAGAGCTACACAGTCCAGTATTAATATTTGACCTGTATCTTCGAGCGGAACTACTTTGAGTAGGTTAACCGGTCCCTGCTGTCACGACTCTTCTTTTTCTTCCTCTCTCTCGCCGCAGACAGACAGACAGACATATTTAATGACTAATTAAACCCGACATAGCCTGAGTACATCGTAAATTCAACTAGGTACCTCTCTCTTGAACATATAAGAGACATTAAATCTAAGTACTTGAGTGCCAATTATCGTTGGACTTTTAATCAATTAGATGGATAATCGGAATCAGCTGATTTTAGTGGGCATGATTATTTGTATTTTAACAAAAGCGTGTAACTTTGTTCTGACTAAGATCAGCTGTTTCTTTGGACCCTACTAAAAGGCAAAAGATCAAGACCACTTTTTGTAAATTAATTGAAAATTGAAAGATGTAGATAAAACAAAATCACTTCTGATATATGATAGTCTATCTTGGAGTAGTTCTGATAATAGACATACACATATGAATCACTGTTCTAGTTATCAGTTGACACAAAGCTTATTGGGAGGCATAGACTGACCAGGCTTTTTCCATCTTGACCTAAAATCCACACACAAACACATACTTTATATTTCTCGTTATTAGGGTAGTAGACGAAATTTTGTTTATAATTAGGGTTATTTTCATGATTTGTGCTTTACTGGTTATATACCGGTAACTAGCAGACCAGTTATCGTTTATGATTATATTGTTGTATTTGGTTAAATGAGGTTTTAAATGACCGAAATACAAAAAACAAATTGTAAACAAAACAGGATCTCTACAGTTAGTTGGACTACTCAGAATCTATAACATTAAAACGTGACAGGGTTTTTTTATGTCACGATTCTGAATCAACCACTTGACGGATTTTCATGATTTTTGTGTTGAAAGAAAAATAATTTTTAGAACTAGGGAATGGGAATGTCGAAGCCATAATTTTAGTTTAGGGTCCAGTTTTTTAGAAATTAAGTTTGATTTTTTTTAAATCTAGCAGCCGACATAAATATTCCAGACTAGCTTTAGCTATTAATACCATTTGCTTAGTAACAGCACTCTGTGATTTTGTCATTGATTATCTATATATATAAAGCTTAAATACCACTGACTCACTCATTCATTCATTCACTCACTCATCACAAAATCTCACGCTCACTAAGAAAGGATTTTACCCTCTTACCTCTGGGCTCCGCCCCAGTGGCTCTGGAGTTTCCCATGTTAACCTTATGAGAAATGGAATTAATGAATCTTAACAGCTGTTTCAATTAAACAAGTTGGTTCGGTTCTATGATGTTCAAAGCATTAAAGATACAAGGATTACCAACAGGGTGCAACACCATTATTTTTTTTTTACATTTATGACAACAGCTAATTTGCAACCAAAAGGTGAGTGAGCGTAGCGAACAAACTTCAACCAGGACGTGATTGAGCCATGCGAACGAGATCATCTTGAAAATTAAGAAGTTAAACGGGGCAAAGCCCGCGGGTTACAGCTAGTAGGAAGTAAGTAAGATCCTATAACCATTGCTGTATACGAATCGAAGCTCACAAGCTTTCGAATGAAAGCTTATGAAAATATTTCTTAGGGTACCTACTAAAATTTTAAGGAAAGGTTGGGAAATACAATGATCACATGTTTTAATTCATCTTGGCAGCTTTTTCTTTACAATGCATTTTGAACTGCCAAAACTATGCTTGAATTAGGAATATAAATAGTGATATAACTGTATACAGTTTTAATGGACTACTAGATTCTCTTACGTCAAAGATGCTTTATGAGCCTGTATTGTTGTTTGTATTCATGTACATTCATATGTTTACAAGCTGTAACCCGCGGGCTTTGCCCCGTTTAATTTCTTAATTTTCAAGATGATCTCATTCGCATGGCTCAATCACGTCCTGGTTGAAGTTCGTTCGCTATGCTCACTCACCTTTTGTCAGCAAATTAGCTGTTGTCATAAATGTAAAAGAAATAATAGTGCTGCACCCTGTTGGTAATCCTTGTAACTTTAATGCTCTTGAACATCATAGAACAGAACCAACTTGTTTAATTGAAACAGCTGTTAAGATTCATTAATTCCATTTCTCATAAGGTTAACATGGGAAACTCCAGAGCCACTGGGGCGGAGCCGATTGGACGGATCACGAAATTGATGGTGTATAAACCTATTCCATGAAATTCTACACGTATGTACACACAAAACAATTTGTTCCTTGATTGGTTTTTATACTCTATTACAATTGCAGCGTTATATTGTTATGCAATTAATTGGTTAGCGATTAATTGGTATGGATTCTGAAATAGGGATTATATTATGATGATGACAAAGGAAACATGCCTCTTTCCCTTGTTTATTTCTACTTGAGACAGATTTTACATTTCTACATGTTCACAGGTGGACCTGTCAACTCAGATAGATTCAGAAGCGATTCAGAAAGCTTACAATGAAGTGAGGGATGACACGTCTGAGACTAACTGGTAAGTAACATAGAGAAACAACAGAGACTAAGGAAGCTCTAGAATATATAATGATCAAAACTATACACTTAGAAATCATTCGTACATAGCAACAGCTCCAAGGACTTATGGTACCTACTATTTGAACAAACCTTTGATATAGAGATTTCCTACATTTAAGAAACTGAACTTAAAATATTTTGGATTGGAAATTGCATAAAATGTGTGTTTGAGCGTGAAGCTTTGTAAATCAAGCACACAGCTTACATTCAAAGCACTTAAATTGCATATATGGCATAGAAGTTTCATTGCTCATGGAAAATGTAAGAAAATGTTGCTAGCTACGGAGTAAATTAGTTGATAGTGTTCTTAAAATGAGGTTATTGACTCAGAAACCTAATCAATTATTTTGTTTAAGGTTAGTTCTAAAATACAACGGAGAGAGAATCGTATGCTCTGGAAAAGGAACTTCATTCGAGAGGTTCAAAGATGAATTTGGAGAAAACGACCGAGCCTACGGATACATAAGAGTGCAGGTAATACAGACTTAATACCACTTTAGGATATATTTTTCTAACATATCAGGATGATAACATTATATTATGTAATACTCTGTAACGGAGGGTGAATTTGTTAACGTAACTCACAAATCAAACTCAGCTCTCACTGACAACAACCAACTAAGGTAGAGAAACAGACACAGTGTTTAATAATTTAGTATAAAACAGGAACCCCAATGTGCAAAAAGACTTTAAGCCCCAATTTTGAACACCCTTAAGATGGCCTTACCTGGATCCAGTGGATGTGCCAAAAATTAATCCCGTTCCTCCCAAATCGAAGTTTGAGATGCTAACCACTGTTAACACACACTCCAACACGTATTGTATTGCATTGAGTGTATTGTTATGCATTGTATTCTATTACAGATGGGTGATGAGATGAGCAAAAGACAAAAGTTCCTGTTGCTGACGTGGGTCGGAGAAGATGTTGGAGTCATCAAACGGGCCAAGATGAGCACAGACAAGGCTCTCGTCAAAAATATTCTATCGGTAAGTTATCTTAACTCTAACATATGTAAAATGTGGTTTGTTTCAGCATACGTGCAGTGTACTTAAATTGAAACTTTATCGTACTTTTTAATTAAGGTCTCAAAATATTTGTCTACTCTAGGAAAAGTCAGTAAACTCAGTTGTCCCAAGTTAAACCAAAACACAAAGGATGTCTGTAAGATGTTTTAAGTCTCCAAAGGTCATGTTAAAGCCAATCAAATCTGAGATGAACATCAAAAGTGTTTCACTTCCTCCACTACAGTACTATTTTAGATTTTGAAAAAAGTGATACTCCTGCAAAGTAAAAATCATGTTCTGTGATCACATTTCTATAGTCTTAGTCATCAAGTGCCATTCCATTAAAGTCAATCATCATAGTTAATGAAGATAAATATCATTTCATTTTAATTTATTTTAAAGCATATTATGTATAGTCCAGTCAAGGAATGAGGTGTAGAGTGCGTGAGCAGGTAACTAAGCGATTCCTTCAGAAACTTGTTCAGGGGGCTTAGGGTGTTAACATACCAAAAGTCCTGACTCCTAGGTGGTGAGCCAGGGGGTGGAGGGGGGAAAAAGGGGGGGAGAAAGGTACGCATTTTGGGGTTTTTGATTATATCTCGAAAACTATCAACTTTTTGTATACTATAGTAAATTATAAAATTGAAGAAGATTAAATTTTCTACAAGAAAAGTCTAAATGTGTTTATTTTGGTTCAACAGATTACGAGTTATAACTTATTTAATTGATATCTTTAATAAAATCTCCTTCCATAAGAAATACATGTAAATTAGTATGCGAAATGGGGCGAATCCGATCCGCCCAAAGGAAATATAAATGATATTCTGGAAATCTTTACAAAATTTCCAATAATTTGACACTTTAATCATTAAAATTGATCCAAAATTAAGGCGAGGGCGAGGTAACAAAATGTTGAGTTTTGGTGTTTTTTTATTGGAAATATAAAAAAAACCTTAAATCATCCCATTTTTAAACGCTCACCCTCGCTTTAATTTTTGACAAAATTTCATGATTAAAGTGTCAAATTACTGGAAATTTTGTCAAGATTTCCAGAATATCATTTATATTTCCTTTGGGCGGGTAGGATTCGCCCCATTTCGCATACTAATTTACATGTATTTCTTATGGAAGGAGATTTTATTAAAGATATCAATTAAATAAGTTATAACTCGTAATCTGTTGAACCAAAATAAACACATTATATACTTTTCTTGTAGAAAATTTAATCTTCTTCAATTTTATAATTTACTATAGTATACAAAAAGTTGATAGTTTTCGAGATATAATCAAAAAACCCAAAATGCGTACCTTTCTCCCCCCCCTTTTTCCCCCCTCCACCCCCTGGCTCACCACCTAGGAGTCAGGACTTTTGGTATGTTAACACCATAAGCCCCCTGAACAAGTTTCTGAAGGAATCGCTTAGTTACCTGCTCACGCACTCTACACCTACTTTTGGATCATTCATTGACTGGACTGGTAGCAAAGTTCTTCGTTTGAAGTCCATTGTTGGTGATGGTGTGTTAATGTTCAAAGGTTCATTGCGGGATCTGGGATCCTGAATACTCTCTGCAGTGTATTCCAACTTAAGCGGTGTTTACACTGTCGTTTGGCCACGGCTAAAATCAGGCGTGTAGGTGAGAAATTTTCTCACTTTCTTGAGAAGCGTGGCCACGTCTCGTGTAAACAGTGGAGACGTGGCAGTAACAGACGTGGCAACCCAATACGCCTGTTCCCCACGCCCTTTGGAACTAACCAAACCGTGTTTGGTTGCTACGCCTGTTGCAGGCGTGGCTAGACCAGGCTAGACGTGGCGAAGAGTTATCGTTTTCCGTCTCGTCGTTGTGTGTACTACGAGTTTAACCATAGTTCTTTAAAGTCAGTGGTTGGTTGTCGTCTCAGTTTACGGTGTGAAAACAAAGAAATCTGTATTATCGGCACAAGTCGAATCAATTAAAGCGGTGAAAACAAAGCAATTTTTAAAATTAATGGAAGGTCAAACAATTTGAATGCTTGTGAACTGTATCAAATTGAACCTTGTTTATTTAATATAAATATTGAAAGCTACAGCTTGGTTTCTATATTTTAATAACACTTAAATGCCGTGCTATTTCTTCAGCTAAAATAGCAATCACTCAATCACTGCAGAATAACCTTCAATAATATTAATCTGTTGTCTCAATCCATAACGCACCCAAAAATAAAAATAAACACGCCTTTAATGAATACGCTTCTACCAGAAAACTGTTTACACTACACGGCATTTGCGTACGGCTGTCCATTGGCGTGGCGACCACGCCTGTTACGGACGTGGCCCCACGACAGTGTAAACACCGCTTTAGGTTGTAGGTAGGACTTGTAGGTAGGACTTTTGTGTATTGTTGGTTGTAATGTGTTAGTTATTTTTTTCACCTAAGGACGGGATCAGATTCAAGATTGCGTAACGTGTATTTGTTTTACCATTGTGATGGAAAATGTCCGCAATAACCTTTGAACGACATGAAGCAAAGAGTTTGGATGTAAAAAATGTGCAAAAAAAATGTGTGGAGTTTGCAGGTGGTATGAAAATGTACAATATGTTTTTCATATTGGCAGTGACCAAGTTTAGAGGAATTTCCCCTACAGATCAAGGCGTGACTGATCAAAGAGATGGCTGAATTGACAGAATATATCTCTACAAGACTATAGTAAACCCTGGTAGTCTCAAACATGCTGACTTTGACTATTAATACAACTAGACATTCCATCTCCATGTTAAATTTGTTGTCAAAATTGTCGTAGTTGATGTGCGCCATCGATGGATTGCGCTGATATAAATTACTATTCTGTTGAATACACACCTTTTTTACCAAGTCAAACTTAGGGAATGACTTATTGTGAGCTATAGCAACTTTTATGACTCATCAACCTGGTCAGCAACAAAAAATAAGGTATAAAATATAATTTTAGACACTAGCGCATTGTGACTGGATCACACAACTACGATCTTTTTTTAATAAAAATTGGTAACAGTAACAGCTGGACCATATAGATGGTATGTCTTCTTCAGTTAGTGCGTGGAACAAGCAACATATTACCTAGTAATCTTTCACTTTGATAAAAATTTCAACAGCTGGTCCATATAGATGGGATGTCTTCTTCAGTACCAAATAGTCAACTATGCTGATCAGCAAGGTAAGTTTCCTTTAAATCGCTGCCTCAATGGACACTGATGAACACTCGCTGCCAACCTCGTTGTGGAAATGACTACCACTGCCTTCTACTGCAAATACATATGCCGCTTAGACACATTTCTAAATGGAAACATTTTCTAACTACACATCTCTGAACTTGCAATGGATTTTAACAGGTGTTGACTCCCTTCCTACAGAAACCTAATCTCAGAATGCGGTTCATACTTTACGGGGAGCGTTGCTCCTCATAGTTTTGGCTAATGAAGAATAATGGTCACATAAGGGTGGCTAGAACTATAGTGGATGAAGAAAATAGACAAATATTATATTTGTACTATTTAATAAGAAACCAAGTAGATGAGGCATATGACCGGGATAGACGGAGATGAATTGTTGGCAAGGCCAAAATCCTTTATAGAGTATCGATGACCATGGGAGTAAGTTAGTGAGAAACCAAGCTGACCATTCCTCTTTCCTTGTCGTGAAAATTAAATGAATCTAGTTTCTGATTTTTAAATGCTACCATAGACAAAAATGTTGTCTATGATGCTACTACATACAACCGATACTGATGGCCAATTTCAACACTAAAGAAATTATTATTTTTAACAAGAAAATTATAATGATAAAAATTTAAGGATCACTGTTTATATATGAAATATAAAACTAAACTAAACTACTTATAGCCCTAATTTTATTAAAAAAACTCAATGCTAAGATTGCTAAGCAGAAACTGAAAACAGTATGTAGCCAATATTATTCTTTAACTGACCTTGTAATTTCCAATTTTCTTACAGAATTTTGCCGTAGAACTTCAACTTGAAAACAAATCTGAGTTCGACATTAACTTCTTCAAAGATCAACTCAACAAGGCAGGAGGTGCTAACTACGGAACTGGAGTAAGAGACCTCTAACTCTCTGGACGAAGGGACAAAGATCTCTAAGAGGTCTAAGACTTTTAGACGTAAAGATGGAAGCAAATTGTTCACTAGCTTACTTGTGCAATATAGGTTAGTTAGGATAAGATACCAGTATTGTATTTCTACGTACTTTTCAAAGTATTACAAGTTTAGCAGTCTGTTTTCTTGAAAGTTAATTATTTATTTGGAGGTTAGTTTCTTTGATGTGTATTTTAAATCTGTTCAGTAATAAATTATTTGTAAATATTGGATGTTTTACCCTAGTCAAATTGTTATATTATTTATTGAAATATTAGTTTATTCACTGGATTTGTACAAAATTCCATGCATAATCTAATCCTTTTAGCTTTTAAAGTTGATTGTTGGACACAAGAGTAGCAACTTGACTTCTGCTTGCATTCAACTAGTTACTACCGAACAGAATAATAGTTTACTAGTGTACCTGTTGCTCGAAATCAATAAATTGTCAAGTACCGGTATTATACAGAAGTTATTTTAAAACTACAGTAATAACAGTCATAATTTTTGATGAGTTTAAAAGACCCGACTAAATGCTTACCTATGCAACTAATTGAAATACTCACGATATTTAATAGCGCTTTAAAATAATAAAACGCTTCTTGTGAAAATATTTTAAATTTTTTGGACTTTATTTTGGTCTTATTTTTTAGTGTTTTCTACAAATGTTTTCTAACTTAAGGCTGTTACCAGTAAACATTTCTTGCATGTATTTATTTGATCTCACTTTAGGTAGGTTTACTTTACCACTGTGACAACATGATGTGTATATTCTTCATTGTTTTTTTTTTTTGCTTAAAAATAAGTTGCTTAGCATAACTGGCAAAAATGATTCATCTCCCCAAGTGATTGTGTACCTGGATTCCTTAAGCCCAGCGCACACGGTGTGACTGTTTTACAACAACTGTTGCAAACCAGTTGCGTCTGGAACCAGTTTGCAACTGAAACAAAACTTCTCTCCGCACACGGTGTGACTGTTTTACAACTACAGTTGCGTCTATTGTGCAATCAGTGGAGTGCAAATTTAGTGTAGTTACGTTGTTTTAAGGCCTTAAGTGTGACGTTATTAGCTATTAACATAGATAAAAGGAGTAGTGTCTATACTCCTTTTATCTATGCTATTATCAATACCGAAGACAGCAAGGGTACTGAGAGAGCATTGTGTTCACCCTTATTTGAGCAAGAATGTTAGAACTAGGCTGTTTGTAGCAGCTAGAGCTATTCGGATAGGAAATTATAAACACTATACGGCCGTCAAAATTCCACCAAAATACTACCAAACACCACAAAAACCCCCCTTGGTCTCGTGCAACTGAAGTCTGCAACGCAACTGCAACGTCGGGCCCACGGTTGCATGTGACTGGTTTCAAACTTTTTTTGAAATCGCATACAACCAGTTGTGTTGTGTGTGCCTCCGTGGGGATACACATGGTACAGTGGTACAATACATTTGCCGAGGTCTTAAAACAGTTGCACGCGCAACTGAAAGTTGTAAAACAGTCACACCGTGTGCGCTGGGCCTTACTGTGAGACCAGGCCTCTCCTCTACTCTTCTCATACATATAAGATTTCCTATTAATTGTTTCCTCTTCCTGTTTTCAATATTTCTCCTTTAAACTCAAGAAATTTTCTGTTCTTCCAACAAAACTGATTAAATGTTTAGATTTGTCTATAACCTCCTAAATACTACAAACATCAATATTTACTTCCAAAAAGCTTGTGAGATTCTTTTTTATATACAGCTGTTTCTGTTTTTTAAAATTTGTATTCAATGTAATACTTATTGGGAAAATGCGACCTTTGAGAGCGTCTCGTGCCGTTAAGGGTAAGAGTTTTAAAATTCTAAAACCTTTATGCAAAACTACAAATTGAGGCAAATTATTTGACACCACAAATGTTACAATAAGTCCAAAAATAACGGAGGAGTTTTGTTCACAAAAAACAGCCCTCACGTATTAATATAAGAGATTATGCTACAAGGCCGAGATGTACGTGTTTATGGTATGAGCATGTGCGAGGACGGGATTTCGTGTGAGTACCGTAAACATCTTCCTGGATGAATTGCTTACGATACTTTTAATCATACTAGCAATAAGTTTAAACAACAAGTTTTTTGTTCATACTCCTGTAAAATAACATAACCTTATGCTTATATTATATTTCGCCTGACACCCCCCAACAAGGGGCCCCTCCAGGAAAATTTTGTATTTTAATGCTGTTTGGTGACTTTTTAAAGTAATTTTAAAATCAAGAACTGTGCCCAAAAACCTCCGTTATGTTTTTATGACAAAATGTTTACATTTTTCCAGGGTGCAATAGGGGGGGATAATATACCCCCCCTGTAATATACCCCTATACCCTCCCCCCACCCTTGGAACCGACTCTATGTTGGTGCGCCACCATTAGATCAGGTTCATCACTGATGGACAGGTAATATAAACCATTTGATTGTATAAAAATGGTACACTGACTATGGAACTTGGATAAAATCTTCTATTACACATTCCATCCTCATGTGAAATTGTAGCCAGATTTTTAATCAAGATCGTCGTAGTTGATGTGAGCCACCTTCAGATTGCGCTGATCTAAATTACAAAATTATGTTGAATACCCTACACAAACTTTTTTACAAAGTCAATTTAAGGAATTACTTATGGTGAGCTATAGCAACTTTTATGACCCATCAACCTGGCCAGCAACAAAAAATAAGGTATAAAATAGAATTTTAGTCACTAGTGTATTCTGTGACTGGCTCACACAACTACAATTTTTTGTTTAATAAAAGTTGGTAACAGTAACAGCTGGACCATATAGATGGTATGTCTTCTTCAGTATCCAATAGCTTCTAATAGCTGAAATATGCTTCCATATTCCCAGAATCATAAAGTATACATACTAATACTACTTAATAAAGTATAGTAACAAAATCTTGAATGATTCACAAAACCAATCAATCAGGAAATTAAGAAACACTTCTGGATCCACTTCTTTGTTCAGTCAAAATGTTTTATAAAATGTCCAAAATACCCAAGAAGGAATCAAATTACAAGCGATGGTTCAGACTAGATAGACAAAAGACTTGATTTTGAGAACTAAAACCGATAATTATGTTCTTGTGTTTTTTTGCCCACCGGGTGACGTGGCGCGACACATTGGAAAAAAGTTGCCACGTATACGTGCCATGTTATTTTATGGACTGACGCCCACCTATCAACCCAGCGGGGGGCGCGATGCGGCGCAGAAAAAAAAGTTCTCCTCGAAAATGGTAGTGAGAATTCGGTAGAGAAGTTCTTTCTTTCATGTTGCCGCACCTCCGTTGAGTTGCCTGGTGGGCACGGAAACAGCGTCTTCTCCTCCTCTGCCGCTCTGTTTTCAGAAAGTATCGTGAGCCCTTCGGGTGTGTTCGGGTCCGAATTGAAGTGCACTGTGTATCCCCTCCACAAGAATAATTCTCTGCGCTGCCCTGCACTTCACAAGAGTTGCTTGGTGGGCGCGGCCCCTGGAGAAGCAGACTGAATTTATTCTCCACAGCCCGAAGTGGTTCCTAGCTTTATTAAATGTCTATCAGTTAATCATATCTTAGATGACGGTGACATGTATAGATTGAAAAAAGAGACAGCTTAGCTTGTAAGACAACTTTATATGCAAAACACTGTACACAAAAATAAATAGCGAATATATTTCTAAACGTAACATGGCAGGTTATAAATCGAAGCGAGAGACGATGGTAGATTCTTTAAAGCTTGTAAGCCTGACGAATCATGAGATCGAAGTAGGCATCATGGTCAATGGAGGCACTAATTCCAGAATAGTAGTTGAGGAACTCTTCTTGGGTTACCTAGAAAACATTTTAAATAAAACTCCATGAAGTTACTATAGCTGTAAGAAAAAGATTACATATTCTACACTCAATATTTTAATCCAAGCTAAATGCTTTTTCCTAAAAACATATTCTACACTCATTAACTATTTGAATATGGCTTACAGTACTCATTTTTTATTGTAGAATTGAAAATGTTTTCAATCTTTAAACCCATTGTATATTTTTAGGAGGCCCCTGCTCTATGGTGTTTATACCATTCCTTCCACTCTGGTTTACATATCACTTAATCCTTTGACAGAGACAACACATTTCAAGCAAAACATGAAGGTTTATATTAGAATGGATGCTTGGTGATGAACCCATTGATGCTAGAATAGTTTTTTCTCTATTAATTATTTGTTTTTCTCTTCATGTGTATTTAAACACGATCGATGTGAATTGTAACCAAAATAAAAGCCAAAGAAGGAAAATCCTCCTCTTCTATACCAATTCAAAGGAAGCAAAACAGGTGTTGTGTACAATCCTTATTAAAAGCAATAATGACGTCAACTTTCACCCAAGCTAAGCATCGTAAACTTAAGGTGGGCTTTCCACTCCAGCCAATCCACACATTAGCAAGCTTAATGTGGATATTAGATTTGAATCTGCACATGTGGAAAGTCCACAATACTCTTCTGAGCTAGCATGCCACCATTAACCGAACGGGACGATTGACACTAGCGTTCAGACACAGGTTAGACTAGACGTGATACGTGAGGACAAGTGGGTTAGCAGTACGACTATTTCGCGGTGAAATGCGGAGACGAGCTACACTCGTAAGTCGTCGCCAATTGGTTAAGATCACCAATTCCTTTTCAGAACCATTAAATAAAATGCCAATTTACTAAAACAGCTTCTTCCAGTTTTGAACCATCAATCTCCTGATGGCTTCTGATTGGTTTACAAGCGCTATAACCACTCAGCTCCCAATATTTTTACACATATTTACACCTACACTGATATTTTACACTCACCCTCCCATCTCCGTCCTTCTCGAAAGTCAATAGGAACTTTTTCAATATTTGCTCCTCAGTTTCCTCTCCACTGAGGTATTTCGGGTGTGACTTGACCGAGTACGTGTGCTTGAGGTCGTCAATGGATATGACTCCGTCGCCTGTCTTGTCCAACTTCTTGAATGCTTCTTGTACGGCCTTCACACGAGTATTGCTCATTGGGGGCTGAAGAAGAGAAATTAGTTAACCTTTTACTAGTAAATGGTTGTGAGTACTCCTGGATGGATTTATTTGAATATAACAAAGAGGTTAAAAGAGAATATTCGCTAGATATAGTGTCAACCGATAGATTTGACTAGGAAAAGTAGTAGAATTACACTTTTATGTTTAAGATTTACAAGTGTTAATGAAAATTATGGTTGACTTAAACCACTTAAGTCTGCGGATTGAAATTCACTCATATTTGGGTAAAAATACGCACATGTGTGACGTCCCCTTCTCAAATGCTAATGATAATTACAGATTTATGTGTTTCCAAATACAGCGAGACCCAAATATTTGTTTAAACTAAGGTTGAGTGTATACTAAAGGATGATGCCTTGTGTAGCTTTGTTACTGACAAAGAAAAGCTGTTTCATTTGCCAGGATCATTAATAAAAAGCCCAAGGACAGCTGGGTCTAGTTTCGAACCATCTAAAAGCTACCATGATAAAAGTATCTAGCAAGTCATATTACACTCATACGTATCATCAAAACAAAATACATCAATACAACATGTTCTCTTTTATAGGTGTTTGCATGTTATAATTAACGGAGGTCATTCCACTTGGCAAAATTTAGAGTGGTGCGTGTGGTTAACAGGTGTTTTGTTATTGATCAAATGAAAGAACAACCCCCCATGCCTTCTAATCATGTTGGAAACATCTGGGACATGAACATGGCACTGTCTCATCAAACATTCAGAGGGATACATGGAGAATCGCATGCAAACTGTCATTGCGACGGAAAACCTTTTATTACGGCAATATTCTACAAGACAACGTACAACGTACATTAATTTATCTGTCATGTTTAAGTGAGCAAATAATCATTGCTATTGATTGATGAAACAGACTTTAAATACTTTAAACTGAAATGGTGACCATACGAAGGTAGGTATTTTAAGCCAAGTATGATGATTGTAGGATGAGTGGCGCGGTCTTGTAATCTTGTTAGTGACTAAGGCCGACATGTTCCTTAGACATGACTGTTACTTGATAGCCAATACAGCCAATGGCAACTGCGGATGTCAATCCACACCAGGGAGTATCGCATCCACAGATCATGCATATAAATATCCACAATTCGTGACCTCCAAGTAGCTGGATTACAGGACAATGCCACGGTCCCAAGTCTGAGTGTACTTAAAATTGTACTCTTAATCCATTAATTTTAATAAACTTATGTGTCTATTGGAAAAGAATTTTACCTTAGAGAATTAAGATAATTTTATTCATTGTGAACGCCTCCCGTATATTTTTATTTGTGTTAATTTTATTTCTACCATTAGCTTTTTAGTTTTTTGCATGGTCTTGTTACTATCTACATTGACATTCGGTTCGACAGCATCATTAATTTGACAGCCCAATAACAAAAAGCAAAACTATAGGTCCGGTCTTGCTTGGAATCGAACCAACCTTTAGATTCCACTTGGCTACCGATAGAATATTGACAATCAGATTATAGAGCTACAAGCTCTGAAATGTCTATGACCTATTTTTGTATCAGTGGTTAGTAACACCGACTATTTATTCAGCAAGGTTGATTTGCAAAATGGAATCAGTTATTTCAAAGGCCTAATTGAAAGGATAAATTGTCACTTTACGCATCTGGTTGAAAATTAGTGTTAATAAACATACAGTCTAAGGAAGCTATAAGTTGATCGATATGCAAAGGTCTACACCTACCCTTAAGGATACTAAGAACTCGTCCATGTTTATGCTGCCACTGTTGTCTGCATCAAATCTTTTGAACAGGGCCTCAATCTGTTCAGTTGTCAAATCCATTCCCGTGTCGTTCATTCCTTCCGTGAACTCCTCCAGGTTCAGAGCTTTATTTCCGTCATCATCCATCCGCCGGAATAACCTGGGAAAATGCAAGTAGACTTGAGAGTATTGTACATATTCTAGTGATCTTTAAATACCTTCTTCAAATCCAAAAATATATGATAATTGGGATGTCCAGCAAAATGGCTTAACATGATTGCTGACTAATTTGTCCTTTGTTTTAAGTAGGATTTTGTTTGGATACATATTGGTTCATTACAATCCCAAACTCTGAGTCCAACAACTCTAGTTTTAAAAACATAAAGTACTCCTCTGGAAAATGTTTAAGCCCTAACTGTGACGCAAATGTCAGCCATTCTGCATTACATAAAAGAAAATACTCTGGCTTATTTTTGTTATTTTGTTGTAGACCTTCTTGATATTGTCACTAATTTTCAGTAAAATGTTATACATGACAAATATACAATAGTTTCAGTTTTCATCTATAGTTGGTAAGTCTCACCAAAAATAAGTTGTTTGCTAATGTACATCTTGGCTTAAATTTTAACGGCTTGCTGAAGAAATCATTCAATTGATTTTGAAATAAAATCTCCTCCCACATCCAAACAAACATAAAAATCCTCTTCTCCTTATTTTATTTGACAAATTCAACTGTTCATATAAAACAGCTGATTACCTTCTAATAGAGAGTATTCCTGATGACCCTCGCACCAGACACAACAACCTCAGTTTCTCTAGAGGGTCTGAGGCTAGCTCTGTTTTAAAAAAAAATTAAATGTTCAGTAAAAACAGCTGATTACCTTCCAATAGAGAACATTCCTGATGACCCTTGCGCCAGACACAACAACCTCAGTTTCTCTAGTGGGTCTGAAGCTTGCTCTGTTTTATAAAAATTTTAAATGTTCAGTAAAAACAGCTAATTACCTTCCAATAGAGAACATTCCTGATGACCCTTGCGCCAGACACAACAACCTCAGTTTCTCTAGAGGGTCTGAGGCTTGCTCTGTTTTATAAAAATGTTATAAATGTTCAGTAAAAAACAGCTAATTACCTTCCAATAGAGAACATTCCTGATGACCCTTGCGCCAGACACAACAACCTCAGTTTCTCTAGAGGGTCTGAGGCTTGCTCTGTTTTATAAAAATGTTATAAATGTTCAGTAAAAACAGCTGATTACCTTCCAAAAGAGAGTATTCCTGATGACCCTCGTGCCAGACACAACAACATCAGTTTCTCTAGAGGGTCTGAGGCTTGCTCTGTTTTAGAAAATTTTTAAATGATCAGTAAAAACAGCTAATTACCTTCCAACAGAGAACATTCCTGATGAACCTTGCGCCAGACACAACAACTTCAGTTTCTCTAGAGGGTCTGAGGCTTGCTCTGTTTTAGAAAAATTTTAAATGTTCAGTAAAAACAGCTGATTACCTTCTAATAGAGAACATTCCTGATGACCTTTGCGCCAGACACAATAACCTCAGTTTCTCTAGTGGGTCTGAAGCTTGCTCTGTTTTAGAAAAATTTTAAATGTTCAGTAAAAACAGCTGATTACCTTCCAATAGAGAACATTCCTGATGACCCTTGCGCCAGACACAACAACCTCAGTTTCTCTAGAGGGTCTGAGGCTTGCTCTGTTTTATAAAAATGTTATAAATGTTCAGTAAAAAAAGCTGATCACCTTCTAATAGAGAGTATTCCTGATGACCCTCGCGCCAGACATAACAACCTCAGCTTCTCCAGAGGGTCTGAGGCTTGCTCTGTTTTAGAAAAATTTTAAATGTTCAGTAAAAACAGCTGATTACCTTCCAAAAGAGAGTATTCCTGATGACCCTCGTGCCAGACACAACAACTTCAGTTTCTCTAGAGGGTCTGAAGCTTGCTCTGTTTTAGAAAAATTTTAAATGTTCAGTAAAAACAGCTGATTACCTTCCAAAAGAGAGTATTCCTGATGACCCTCGTGCCAGACACAACAACCTCAGTTTCTCTAGAGGGTCTGAGGCTTGCTCTGTTTTAGAAAATTTTTAAATGATCAGTAAAAACAGCTAATTACCTTCCAACAGAGAACATTCCTGATGAACCTTGCGCCAGACACAACAACTTCAGTTTCTCTAGAGGGTCTGAGGCTTGCTCTGTTTTAGAAAAATTTTAAATGTTCAGTAAAAACAGCTGATTACCTTCTAATAGAGAACATTCCTGATGACCTTTGCGCCAGACACAATAACCTCAGTTTCTCTAGTAGGTCTGAAGCTTGCTCTGTTTTAGAAAAATTTTAAATGTTCAGTAAAAACAGCTGATTACCTTCCAATAGAGAACATTCCTGATGACCCTTGCGCCAGACACAACAACCTCAGTTTCTCTAGAGGGTCTGAGGCTTGCTCTGTTTTAGAAAAATTTTAAATGTTCAGTAAAAACAGCTGATTACCTTCCAATTGAGAGTATTCCTGATGACCCTCGCGCCAGACATAACAACCTCAGCTTCTCCAGAGGGTCTGAGGCTTGCGCAGCGGCTCTCCTAGCGTTGTTCATCATCTCTGATTCCTCTCTGCTGGCGCCGCGGATCATACTGTGCATATTGTTAAGAATAAATACAAACTGCACAAACAACTGATAAAAAATATCAATACAATGAATGAAATGCAAATTTCACACTTTAGTTTTTTTTACACTTATACTGTAACTAGCTGTACCCGTGGGCTTTGCCCCGTTTAACTTCTTAATTTTCAAGATGATCTCGTTCGCATGGCTCAATCACGTCCTGGTTGAAGTTCGTTCGCTACGCTCACTCACCTTTGGGTTGGAGCTCGTTCGCTGCGCTCACTTGCCTTCAGGTTAGCTCGTTCGCTACGCTAACTCTTCTCCAGGTTGAAGTTCGTTCGCTACGCTCACTCAACTTTTGGTTGCAAATTAGCTGTTGTCATTAATTACAATAAATAATAGTGCTGCACCCTGTTGGTAATCATTGTAACTTTAATGCAATTGAACATTATAGATCAGAACCAACTTGTTTAATTGAAACAGCTGTTAAGATTAATTAGTTCCTTTTAAATATGAAAAATCATAAGGCTAACATGGGAAACTCCAGAGCCACTGGGGCGGAGCCCGAGAGTCCAATCAGAATAAAAACAACTTAGTTTTCCTATTTAATGCATAAAGAATCAATGTACCAAATTTCAGCCTCCTAGGTAAATGGGAAGTGGGAGAATTAGTGATGAGTGTGTCAGTGAGTCAGTGAGGGCTTTGCCTTTTATAAGTATAGATTATTTTGACCAGTCACACCGCTCATCATCAGGCCCAATCGGAGACGACTGGATGAAATCAATTTCCATTGTAGAATCTTATATTTACTGTTGTGTCTGTATAAGGATTTGTAGATGTAGGTGTGTAAATAAATTGAATGGTGTTGGAAGAGGTATTTGATATAATCCTACGGTAGAGCCAACCCCTTAAATGCTAATCAAGATCTTATTCAAACTGACCATTAATTTCTCACTTTGCCTAAAATTGTGTTTTTCTGAAGTATTTTGCAACTTTTAATTAAAGGTCAAATAGAGAGTCAACCTTTTTAGCATGTTGTAGAAGTTTCATAAAAATATTGTTTGTGTCTTGTGTCTTAGAGGTGCTGGATATGTTTTTTCTGGGACACAAACATAAAAACTGTACCCTAAATACTTAGATACGTTTTTGAAACACTTTGGCTTTTCTCAAACTACACATACAAAATTACAAAAATTTAAATCACGCTTAAAATATTTAGAAGTATTTACTTTGATTTCAGTATAAAAATGAAATTCCTAGTGTGGTCTCTAGGTGTTTTATTAACAACCATAAAAAATAGAAAAAAATACTTATCTCTCCTAGTCAGAAAACACACATCACCCACTGCTAGATACTCATGGTTTTTAGTTTTTAAATTATCAATTAGCTTGAAACTTTAAAAACTTTATTTTCTAACCAATAAAAAGACCTTACCACTGCCTAAACACGTGATATAAAACCTGCTTGCAATCTAGAAGACGACTGCTCTCACTTGCAGAAGGGATGAAATGAATTGATAAATCACCGGGAATCACTTGTTGCACGTCCGCAGGGTGTACTCTATGTTTCCGGACATTACCCAACGTGGCACGCCAACCCCCCCCCACCCCCCCCACCAACTACTTCAACACCCCCCCCCCTTCAACAACGACCCCAACCTTATGGACATTGATAACCGATATCTAAGTCTGCATCGTGCTAGATTAGTCACTCCAATATCAGCTGATATAGTGGATGAATCAGCTGATATTTGTGTACGTCTGTTGACGTGCACATTGGAGCGGGTGACGAATCCGTATTGTATTTGGAAGCTGAAGATTGATAAATGAGTGTCACTGTTTCCTAAGATATCAGGACAATGCTATGGATGAGTGTAGTGTAAGGGTAAGCTAATAAAAACCACACGAAAATAGAAGTAAAGAGGCTAATTCGTTTTAAAATTCTTTGAATTGAGGACTTGAAACATCAAAATTTACACACCGGTTCAGTGTTATAATAATCGTACTTTTATGTAAGCACGTTTTTTATATAACCCCTTTTCTCTATCAGCTCGTGTGCGTCGCATGGAAAATCTACACATACTGGTAGAAAGATATTTTCTTGTGGATATTCAGAATCACTTAATAAATTATAAAAGGCTCAGAAAATAAGCACAAAAATGCATTTAAAATAAATAAAAAATATCATTGGGCCTTATTGGTTGCCCTGCTGGAGACGAAATAACGAAATATAAACAGAAAATCAAAACAAATGGAAGAAATTCCAATCACATATTTTATTTACAGCGTGGGGTGAAAATAGAGAAGTCATTAACGACATATTTTTCGTCGAGTTTTCGACCACCTGACGACCTATAAACATAAATATCAAACAGTGGCCTAAGATGATAGTTCATGAACAGTATCCACCAATTAGTTGGATTAGTTCACTATCACATAACCAATACATATCGAGTTGTAGTAATTAATCGCGTTGACTTTCTCCATTGATTATTTCCTTCATATTAGTTAACGTAAAATTGTAAGCCAATTACAGTAGGTACACCAATTGACCGACGTGTAGCTTCATCGACAAACCAGTCGACATGTTAAGAACACTTGGATAATAATTTTTTCCATGATTCTAAAAGTTTATATATGCGTAAAGTAATATTGTTTTACCACAAGTGGAAATTTTTATATGTAAACACATAATCGACCGAGGGACAAACAACTTAAAGCCAATTATGATCTTTCTTCATTTAACAGGGATTAGACATTAAATAATTGAGTGACCGATAAAATAAAAGGAACATTTAAAAGGTACGGAAAGTTTTGATAAACTAGTTCATCGTATAAAACCCGGTAGCTCTTTACATTAATTTAGATTGTGTTGATGACTTTAGAAATTGTCTAATCTATAATATTAAAACGAAACAGTGTTTTTTTATTTCACGATTCTGGAACAACCACTCGACAGATTTTCATGATTTTTGTGTTGAAAGAGAGATAATTTTGAGAACTAGGGAATGTCGAAGCCATAATTTTAGTTTAGGGTTTCAGTTTTTTTGAAATTAAGTTTTAATTTTTAAAAAGTCTAGCAGCCGATGCTAAGATTCTAAACGAGCTTTTGGTGTAATATAATTTGTTTATCATAACAGCTGTAAACATTCAGCGTTTGTAACAAAAATTCAGCATTTGGATAAAATTAAAAGACATACTAAGGGTTGACTTATTTATACTATGTGTAATGCTAATCATTGATACGTTCAATCCTTCGATAAGAGGATGACAGATTATTTAAATATACATAGGTAAAATACTAGGATGTTCAAAGGATTTTTTTTTAAATAAATCTTTGTAATCTTCGGTTTGTTTTAGTGAAATATAATTTTCTTTTAACTAACAGCTGGTTAAATATGAAAATGCTCTGTAGAACTATGAGGTTATTTTATTTACTCTGATTTTTCATTGATTTTTAGGAAATAAGTAAGATTAGTAGACCACCGAGAAAAGTAACACCATCGATGTATACAAGTCGAGGCTCTGTACACGAGTCTTAAAAAAGGATATGCAAATTATTATACTGCTCAACTTTTTTAGGAAAGGGTAGGAAAATCCATTTTTTACACGTTTCAATTCATCTTGGTTTGTTCACAATCAATGTTTTTGAATAATTAAACTTTGTTTGGATTAGGCCCGGAAATATTGATGTCATAAAGAAGGAGAACAAGAATCCTCAGGAATACAATTTTAAATTGCCACCACAGCCCAGACGGGTTTTATCCAAAGATATACAAATGAATGACATAGATTGAGCACAACGTCATCATTGACCTAGGATACTGCAATTAGACTAACAATCTTTTTATGAAATCTAAAAGTTTGGCGTGTGTTTAGTTGTGGTTGTTTGGAGGCGCTGAATTTTATAGTTTAAATAAATGAATACGGGGAATTACAGTGTATATTGATTCAATGAGGGTGGTTTAATTTATTTTATTTTACCTTCCAACGGTCAAGAACCAATTTACAATAATATGTTGTATAAGATGACTTATTCTAACTTAAACATATACATACAAAAGTATTTTTGACAAAATGACATGCAGTAAGTTTAGTAAATAATACAATTTCAGCAGTATCAAAATGGACGTACACAAAGCAAAACTTTAAACAACAACCAATGAACAAGAACAAAAAAACAAGAATAGTAAGTGAAAATATAAATTATTAAGGATATTAGAAGGAATGGATAATAAACATAGACAATTAATTACGTCACTAGCTTTACTAGCGTGTTTTACGTTTTAAATTCCTTCAACATGTGACCAGTTCTTTTGTTTAAATGAATATTATTTTATTTTCGACTCAGCTGTTTACTAAAACAAACTATATGTTGTTGTTTTGACTTTTCTTTGTTTACACTTATTTATTTAGCAATTGATGCAGTGAAATTGATATAAAGATGTGTGGACGATTCGTTTAATGATGTCAGGACACCAACTTTATAATTATGTGTACTGTGAATTTTATTGGATGTTTTCGTTTTATTTTAGGGAGTTTCTATTCAGACCTACTGGAAATTGTGTATAGTATGAGTAATTGTATTGTGTTGATATTGATTATGGAAGAGGCAGGTATGCGATGTAATTGGAAGGTGATATCGTTGACTAGGCCTATACACTTTCTCAATTGATAATTACTCTTTCTACTGTAGGATGCTATAAAATTTGTCTTTATACGTGTACGCTAGCTGTTCTGATTTATACACAGTTTTAACTGACTAATCCCGTACGTAGGACGGGCTAACACCTCGTTGGTTTAATTACCGATGGTTGATTTAATTATCAGCGTTTGTTAGTAATTACCTACCTTTAAACACGAGTCTCAAAGCTTTGTTTACTATTTCATTGCTCGAAATAATGGAATTTTCCGGGGCGGCTGAAAACACGAGGTGGAGATGGGTGGGTTTCACATTAAATTGAACATTTTCCGAAAAGCACTTTAATTTTGTAAAAATTAACCATCCACTTTTTCGCCTTCGAGATGTAAAATATCGCAGTTTTTTCAAACCATTTTACAGAGCGAAAAAATCATTTAGTAGATTGAAGCGTCCTTGTATGGTAAAATTGCAAAAACAACAAATTTAAAATTTTCAGGTTATTGATATAGAAAATAAGTAAACTGTTGTAGTTTAGTGAATAATTGCTTATCAAGTTTTGTAAATTTATTTTATACTAAGCTATAATTATACTTTATTATTAGCTAAGTACTTATTAAACCTAATGTAAGTTAAATGGGGAATAAATCTGCTAATTTTATGATAATATTTGAGCTAAATCCAATCAGGAAAAAGGAAATTCGCTTAGTCTGCAGGATTGCTCTAGCGAGGATATTTGAGCTCTTTGCTTTCAGATTGTCTCGGTTCAAAAGTTGGTTTGGTCAGCAGAAAATATTAATAAGCAGCACCAGTACCTACACTCTATCGTCTATCCGATGCTATATCTGACTGTGTTAACTTTTGTTCTAAAACTTGCTACGGCTTCATGACGATGGGGTGTCTAGTTCTAACCATAAATCAACATTACAAAAAAAAGTGTAATAAGGGTAGTTTTACTGCACCAGTTAGTACTCCTGCGTTGGTGTTCACCCCCCTTCTTCGTGCGGAAGAGTTTTAACGGGTTCCCCGATTCTTATCCGTAAAAACTTTGTCGAACTTGCCTATCACGCAGCCCACGATATAAACGTTTATACTTTCATCGTATTTACACGTTCTTTGGTGCAAAGCAACATTGTATTTGCATTAGTATAACGCACGCGAACGTTGCTGTGTAAATAAAATATTTGTGTTAAACCCTATAAATAATTTTGAAAGATTGCACGGTACAATCTTAGACAAACCCACACAAGTAGACTTCTCATCCCATTGTAAATTTTGAAGCTCGTTTTTCGTTTCTTGTTCATGTCCGGTGACACTGGGCGCTAGTGTTGACGAAATTTGGTTTCTATTGTTTTAGGCTTAATTGATTTCCGCTTTACTGTTTGGTTGTGGTTATACTTTAATACTTTTTCAATGAAATGGCAACCTTACGAAGTAGGTATTTTTAGCCAAGTATGAATGAGTGTAGGATGAGTGGCACGATCTTGTAGTATTATAAAATAAAATTGGCTTCGGCAGTTCCATAAGGAGGAGAAAATCTATTAAGGGGGTATGTTTAACTTTAATGGTACAATGCAGCAGAAATTATTATATTTTCAGTGTTTACGGGGAAACTAACAATAAATGCAAATGAACTAAAAAAACTGTCAAGAGTTCTGAAAAAAACTATTGTTCAAAGTTCAATACTATTTTCCAATAACAAGTTTTCCTTAAATATATTGGTTAGGTATTTTTGTAAGCTATTAGTTTTTAAAGTGTTTAAGTCATGTTGGCACGTCAGCATTCAATAAAAATTAAAACTGTTTTAGAACTACTAATATTACTCCCCATAGCAATACAAATAGATTTTCCTACTGTAACATAGGTTAGATGTCTTCAACATACCGGCAAAAACCAGAATAAATTTTTTTAATATTATTTTCTTCTTGAAAGCGTTTAAGTACGGTCCTTCAACATTCTACAGTCAACGATGCAACAAAACGATATTAGCATATGGTAACGTACCTTGCGGTGATAGTAGCTCACAGAAGGCTATACTATAGGTAGATTAAGAGGAAGAGGCACTAAGGCACTGGGCGTCTGTCTGTCTGTCTGTCTGCGTCGCGCCGCCGCCCTCCCCCACCCAATCATCCACCCAAAACCCCCAGACGCAAAACACCCGCACCCATTGACACAGTGACCCAAAAGGTACATTCGATTTCCTTTTGTGTATCTTTGACAACATCTTCCCTTAATTGAAGGTCATTAGTGTTATTGTTGCAATATTAAGAGGTTAAGACTGTTTACTTTCCTACAGCTACAAACTTCGGTAACGGCACTTATTGAATAATAATTATTCTTTATTGTCAATTATTGTGGTAGGTTACATGTTATGGAATCAAACCCCCTTTAAGTATTTTCAACAAGTAAAGAAGCTCCACAGGGAAGTTTAAAAATAAGAGACACGATTAAAAGAGAATGGTAAAACACAAGTTTCACTTCATCGAAATCTGACTCGTATTCAGGTGGAAATCCAGGACTTAGTACATTGTAAACACATTTTTATAAGATGTTTCGTTAGAACTTTTAGACACTTAGTTTTCCGACTCCGTCAGATTTTGTACATTGTTGCCATGTTCCATCTTCCAACTTCAGATGGAACGTCAGATTCCTGATCTTGGAATTGTGAAGCTTTTTTTAGTCAGGCATAGAAAACGTCATCAATAATCTTTTAAGAACATTCAAAAGCGAGACTGTGATCGTAAACTATGTGGTTACTAGGCAAAATCTACAAAGTTGTAATATTCCAGAATTATCGTCTAAATTATTAAAATGTCTTTTGTACTAAATTATTTTGTAAACATGGCCTGTACCATCGGTCATAGGTCTGTCAATGCTTTTGTCAATTTTCCTTTCTACTCGAAAGACGACGAGCCTACACTAGTAGGTGGTACTCTTGAAAAGTAAGTTTTTAAAGTAAAATACGAATATTTTCAAATTATGAGGTTACTGTAGATACAAACAAGTGTAAAGAGCTGCCTTTGACAATACTGTGTTAAAACTACACACGAATATATGTACCACTAGCAGAGTACCCGTCCTTCGTACGGGATTGGCATAAAAGTACAAAATGCTTATTGCAGCACTCAAGCTCTGCGTTTGCAATGGGGGGGACACGATTTGATAAAATTTGCTTCTTTAAATTTACTGTATACTATAGTATTACACATCTACCATAGCCATTATATTCTACTACTTCACCTAAACGATAGAGAAAAATAAACTGTTAAAGATTCGCAAAATATCACAAATGATTCATTAAATTAAAAACATAAAAGTAACTGTAAATAATCCTACTTTGACAGTTCCCATTTCATATCATAGATTTTTAGCTGTTTCCATAAATGCACAAAAAGTAATAGTGCTGCACTCTATTGGTAAATCTTATAACTTTTTAATGCTTTTGCATACTATAGAACCAACTTGTTAAGTTGAAAAACAGCTGACTAAATTTTTTAATTCCCTTTAAATATGAATACTCATAAGGTTAACATGGGGAACCACAGAGCCACTGGGGCGGAGCCCGAAAGGATATTTGAGATAATAATATGCCTATATGTTAATCGGGAATGTTAGCTACAATCATGCCAAATTTCAGCCCAATCCGTCCAGTAGGTAATGCGTGATTGAACTTCAAACAAACAAACAAACAAACACACAAACTTTTACATTTATAATATTAGTAAGATAAGATTATGATATCTCATAAACAATTAATAGAGAAGAATTCAAATAAGGGACTCCACCGATTTGTTTATGATAGTAACAAATTAAATAAATTTATTTGCAGTTAACCGTCATATCCAAATATGGTTGACAACCTTGAAACGTAGATTGTTAACGAACTAATATTTTATTCGCTATTAATTCTTTATTTTTTCAATTCTACATCTAATATTTATGTGTGTATTGTCTGTGTAAATTTAATATTTTTCATTTAAAAAACGTAGACAATTTTGATGGTATTAATTGGAAAAAAAGTTTAGTCAATGAATAATTCTATGACTAAATGTACTTTTCTTCACTTATATTTCGTGTAAATAATTATTAAATTAGATGAATTTTGACAGTAATCTACTGTTTCAGATCCATAACTGGAAAACCTGAAGATGTATCAAAAGATATCGACAGTAGTTTAAATGTCATGGAACATGGAACATGGAATTTAACATGGAATTTAACATGGAATTTAAATGTCAATGAAAATAATGAAGACAAGGCCCATTCCAAGAGTGGTGCAGATGATTTAAGTTTTCATGATGCTCTTTATGAAAATTCAGATGAGTATAAACCTGACGGAACTTTAAAACTTGAAGATAACGATGAAACTACGCTGCCTAATCTAGAAGAAGTCTTGAACTACGATAAAGAACCCAAACAAGATTGTGATTTTGCAGATAAAGACGTTATCCATGTTGTAGTTGGCAACAGTAAACCTGAAGATGTGTCAAAAGACGATAGAATAACGCGCATAACATCAAACGACGGTTTTGATCAAGTTGAGAACCAGGAAAGCAATGTCCACCAAACAGCTGACGAGAATTTGGAACTTGAAGTGTCAAACTTGAAAGAAATGTCAAACTCGTTGGATGATAATGTTTTGGAAACGATTGCGGAACCAGGAGTTATACAAAGCTGCAGAGACTTAGAAAAAGAAAATGAATCAAAAGATAGTAACTTGCAGAAAATACTTGACAAATACGAAACCCGTGTTTCTGGAGACAGTGCAACAGTCTTGCCACACAATGAGAGTAGGCCTATACGTCCTTATTGTGATAGTGGTATAGGCCTTATATTTGAAAGGGACCACAAAAACGAATGTTTTAATCTCACACCAGAAAAACTTGATAAAGAAGAACATTCACTTAATGACAGACCGATGTGTCCCATTGTCCCAACTCATGAAAGTGAAGGTCCTCAAACTCCTAAAACTGACCTCAACTCGGGAAACACTCCAGCTTTGGAAACGAAAATGTCAAAGGAACTTGGAATTGAAATGAAATTTACAGGGATTTCAGTAATCTTGGAACCTTCAAGAAAGGCAGACGATGCGTCAAGCACTTGTTCAAATGACAGCTGGCACAGGTGGATTGGTAAATTCATGTCAAATCTTCAGCCAACATCTCCTATCGTTCAAGAAGTTTCCCCTGTTGAAATTTCCACTACCCCAGAGGAAGTCCTCACAGAGGAATGCGACTGTACGAAATCCCATTGTTGTCTTCAACTTGGGGATATCGATGAAGGATGTCCGGAAATGAATTAGTGTAATGTTGCAAAAAAGAAACATATTTTTCTGGCTAAAATTGTTATTGTTCAACTAAATAAACGGGAATAGACAATACTAAACCATAAAAGTCTTGTATATTTTTTTGAAACTTATATAATACCTACTATCTAAACTAGCTTATGGGTTTCCCCGGCCAAGTTATGACTGGGTCGTTGACCTGGCAAAATACTGAGCGATGTTTCGGATCTACGGCGATTCCTGACAGTCTAAGTACAACATTAAGTTGAGCTTTTTAATATTCTCAATTTTATTGTGCTATTATTTATCCATCCATGTATAGATTTATATTCTTTTAAGAATTTCAACTTTGCCATAAGAGCATTGATGCAAAAATGTAAGCTATTAATTTGTTAAGTACTAAACAGAATTTATAGGTTTTTAAGGGGTAAAACAGGCCCCCCTATTCTGTTTCATTCTAACCTATCCAGCACATTTTATAATATGGTAACAAGGTTGGTTATACATATGTAAGTAAAAGATTGCAGAATTGATTTCCAGGATCGATGTGTCAAATTGGAAAGTAACGAATGGAGTTATTGGTCGAAGTAATTTACTCTCGTCCTTACAATGATTCCCTCAAACTTTTAAAGATTCAATCGTTATCTGTTTGTATGAATAAGAAATCGTTATTTTGGACAAGATTTAATATATGGTGTGGGTCTATTGCCTTAATTCATTCTTCCTAGTGGATATGCCATTCTTAACAATCATAAACACTTTAATGCACGTCTTTCTCTAGAAGCTAGATAGTGAAATTTGACATTTTTAGTTACGGTTATTACCAAATGTAAAACTATCATGACCACATAGAATTATCGCTTACTCTCTAGTAACATCAAAATCCACCCGTTTTGAAATTTACCCTGAAGCCCCATTACCCCTTCTAGACATTTTAGTCATTAATTACATATAATATACATGTGCTCCGGACCTTACAACAGGGTGGTAATTTTACTGGCTCCATTAAGCTGAGGAAATATGGCTAAGTCGGTGACAAGGTGTACACAGACATGTAACACAGTACTCAAATATATATATATATATATATATTTATTTATTATTATTTAGTTTTGTAGAACAGACTTTTCTGAACACGTAGATAATAAAAATTAAGGACGAAAACATTTTTTTTTTAATTTCAGCTATTTTTTTAAACTATTGCAGCCTAATTTAGCATGTCCAAGGTCCTACTACTAATTAAGACGCAGAGAGTTCGCCGTCAAATATTAAATTTTATTAAACATTTTTTATTATTTAGTTTTGTAGAACACACTTTTCTGAACACGTACATACCAAATATTATGGAAGAAAAAATTATTTTAAGCTATACAGTGACTATTATACACTCTTACTTTAGCATGCCCAAGGGTCCTACTACTACCCGTGACAGGGGGTACTTTTGTCGTTTTCTGAAAGTCAAGTGGTTTTTAGTCAGGTACACTTTTCTTCCTCAATTATAATCCAATTTCAATAAAAATTGGTGTGTGTGTTCCTCATATGATAAGGAACAATAATACGAATCAGTTTCCATGACAACCAAAAATCTTTGAAATAAAAAAATATTTTATGTTAAAAAATTACAAAATATTTTATAAAATTTTTAAAATCATACTAACAATTTAATTTTGCTCAAAAACTTTTTTGCTTCACATTATTGTTGGTAATAATGTATTAAACTTAGTACAGACATTTAAAGTTGATAGGTTAATATTTGTAAAAGTTATGTGTACCTAAAAACTGTCATTTTAACATGGGCGGGATAGGGAGCGGCGGCCGCCAACATCAAAGGAGTGAGCCAGCCCTTGTATATCTCTAGCCCTGATAGGGAGTACTGTGTCACCTTAATCCAGGGCATTCTCAATAAGGGTCCTCTCTCCTGCCGTTTCGTGTAAACGCAAGGGTCTGGGCAACAGTGTTTCCAAAGGCTACATTTCACGTAGAATCGAAATTAGGGCGTCGTTTTGAAGAGAATCTAAAATATGATGGCTACAAAATGTTTATTATTGAACCATAAGACCGAAAATCTTCTTTTCAACGTAGACGAAAAATGAAAATTTTTAACTGCTTTGACTTATTATAGAATTGTTACTTTAAAATTGTAATACCAGGGCTGCATATATTGTTCTCTGTTCTGTAAAACCCCACTCATTGTTTTTTACCAGCATGTATGGATAATTTACAAAGGCAGTTGCCGTGAACGTCTGCAAGCGCTTCCCGCGGCGCTTCAATGGCGCGACATAGTTACTGAAGCCCGAGCTGAGATTTCCGAGCTGAGGTAGCGCACCCTAAATCAATAAAATTGTATTTACTAAGCTTTTAATGCAATGCCAAAAATCACTCATAAGCTAAAAGACCATTCCATTACAAAAATGTGTTTTGTAGGCTATTGCTTTTTTACCAAATCTTCAAAGGAATAAAAAAGTAACATTATACGGTTAGCACAATCATTCGACCCCAACAACTGACACAAACCAAAACGTGTTTCATATATGAAACCGTTAAGAAAACCTTAGCATAGATTAAACATTTAGTCTACGCTTACACTATTCAATGTAAAAACCACCAATAACAGCTGTTCCAACAGATCTGCTAACGTAAACAACAATATCTAACTCCTAGAAATTCTTTCCACAACTCTTCCATGGATCTATCCCTGATAAACCAACAGATACTCGTCTGGATTGGACCTATCTTCTCGCTTCCACCCTGTATCATGCAATTCTTCTCTCTGAACAGCCTCGAGATCATCCTCTGCGGATCGTCGCGTTCCAGAGCGGCCCGCTTCGCCCATTGGTATTGTTACTTGATTTGCTATATCCGTAATGTGATTGGTGTATGAATCTAAATTTGACATGTATGGTTTATGTTCTTGTTAATATGTTTAAGGTACAACCTGAATAAAATTTATAAAGATTTTTGATTATTTTATAGTAGAAACTCACCCAAGGCACAGAAGAAGTGTGAGCACAGGATCTTCCTCCGTCCAGTAGTGAGCGTTGATGAGGGTGAGGGGTGGTGTTGAATACTGCCCTAGACACCACTTAAGTGTCACCATTCAGTGTACCTCTGTGCCTCACTTCTCTATGCCTTAGGAACGTAAGGAGAGTTACTTTACCTTAGAAAGTTAGTGTTTGTTGGGACCTTAGGATGGGTGTTTTATGTTGAGGCAGAACTATGTATTTCCAAACGCCAAGTTGTCGCGACTTGTTTTCGTGTAAAATAGTTTTATGCAGTTCGGTCGAATCATTTTACAACGTCTTTTGTAAATAACTATAAAATGTATTTAAATTTATGAATTGTTTACAAAACTCCCTGCTATTCAAAGTGACACTCCTGTTTTTGTTTTTCTTAGAACGCAACCTTAGCAAATACTAGGTCGTCTGTTAAACATATTCATATATGCGACAAGACACAGTGTCTTCGTACGGTAATAGGGTTTATGTGGTCTATATACAACATAACTAGCATAACATAACATATAACATGTCAACTAGCTTAGAGTACTCGGCTAAATTTGAATGAATGAATAGTCTATACAATTATACACATTTATTTGTGCATCTAATAACATATCTTTGGCTAGTATTTGGATTATCGTTGTCTATGCGATACATATAACTTCGAACTCTTTTTACACCTCATCTTTCGAGTCCACCATGCAAATAATGGGTACACTTCCATATATGTTGGCACAAAAAACCGAATGAGTAATATTGATTATTCGACTGTTTAATTCGATATATCGTTTGGTTAGTTAGGTTAGGTTAAACTTACCTAACTAACCAAACGATATATCGAATAATCGATGTATCGATCGATATTTTCAGTCGGTTGTTTGTGCCAACAGATATGGAAGTGTACCCGATACATCGATGACTACGTACGTGTGGAAGTGTAAAGGATCTTAGTGTAAAAAGAAAGAAATCTATTTGAAAGTTAATGTAAACGGTCGGTGACATTGGTTGTTATTCAGAATGGGGAAGCGTTTCCCCTAGTTTCCATCGAGAAACGTTGAAAGACACATTTTAAACACCACCCGATCAACATTTTTACAAGTCATGATATAAAGTAAAAATGATATTAAGTGACCAGGCTCAATTGGAGATTTTGGCCATTGTACTGTCATAGACTATGATAGAAAACTCATTTGATTATCCGTAGAAATTCACTTGCGCTGTTTCATTGTTGTCACAAAATGCCATTACAATAATGAGAACCGCAAAAAACACGCTCACAAAATGCATAATTTATTTAACTGTGACAACGTTCGCGTTTGCTCTACAATGATAACTCAATGACGTGTCACTGAAGTGCATGAATGATTAACACGTGAATTAAAAATCATTCCTCACAGCACGCGGGGTTACATTATGGTACAGTTTGTATGTAAAGCTGTGCTTTTAATGGGTGGGGAAGTTGAGAACTACGAAACTCCCTATTTTCGCAACAACCCCTTCCACTTTTGATATAAGCTTGTGAAAATTTTTTGCAAGTGTATGAAATAAATGAGGTTTTTTTTGCAGAAGATTTTGGAAGAAAACGCATTTGTTTGACATTTTTCATAAGCTTGGAGGCCTGTAATTGTTACTACGCCTGTCTAACAACAATAATTGCCTCGGTAGCCGGGTTATGTTCAACTTCAAGTTTAAAGTTTGCTGGTTGGATACGATAAATATTGGACCCAGGTGACTTTTGTCGCTCAACGATAATGCTATTCATAATGGGGTCGACCTTAGATAGTAAAAAGACCAGGGTTTGGACCGTTCCCATTAAAGCGCAACTAGCTTTTAAAAGCAATATAAATAAATAAGTAGCCCAGTACATCCTTTGGTAGAAATGGTGACTGGTCCCTGTGGTTCAGCATCAAAAGATGTACATTCATGCTGTGCCACTTTAGTAACTGAATCACAGAAGGTGGTTACTTAGCTGTTATTTGAGCATTTAATGTGGCTAAAATCAGCTGATTTTAGTTAATCGGTTTTTAACTTCGAACTATTTTTACAGCTAATCTTTCGAGTCAACTTTACAAATTCAACCTTTTTGTTGACATCG